ACCATTATCTGCCAAAGGAAAGAGCATACAAGCCAGTCCAAGTTCACTTCCGAATTGCTATAGCCCAAAGAACTCGGAGTCGGAGTCTAGACCGACAAAACTTAGAAGACGAATGCTTGATCTGCAACTCCCAGCTGATGAGTATATTGACACAGATGAAGTGGATCAGTTTAATGGTGTAAAAGTTTCTGATAATACTAGTCCTTCCCCTGATAAAAACAGAAAGTTTGCAGTGGGGAATGGAAAACGGTTAATGGACTATCCTGCAAAGACTGAATATCAGGGAGATACTTCAAGATCTAATTTGCACGTCAGTAAACCTAGGGCTCTGGCGGATTTGAATGAGCCGTTACTTATGGAAGAAGCTACCTCTGTCTCATCTATTGACTTTTTGCGCCGTGGTGGTAGTCACATTGATGTTCAGTACAGGGATCTTTCTGCACGGTTGTTAAGGTCATCTAATGATGTTCCTCAGAACCCCAAGAATAATGGCAGCATGAATGGGGCTTTGAACAATGTACACTTAGAACATAGATCAAATGGCGCGGACTGGTTTGGTACATTAGAACAAGGTAATAATGAACCACATTGCTCTTAAAAATTTTGGTTTTCCTGCATTTGGATTCTTGATCTCTAGAATTAGGAACTTGAGTCTTCATTAGAACAAGGCATGACTACACTTTTAGACAAGTGATGTATACTTGAGTCTTCTCATGTGTTTTATTTATTGTATTATCAAGGTAGTTGTTCGTACTGTTGATCATTATTTCCGTGTTTAAATTGCAGATAATAAAGGTAGCATTAGATCCATTAATCAAGGAATCTGTCCAGAAAAAGCACCTGTACCATCTCAGCCAGTACATATTATGCTTGATCAAGTTTGTCAACCTCCGGCTTTTCTGGCCAGTGATCGTGTCAAGGGAGATCTTTGGAAAGCAAAATCTGGTGGCATCGTAGAAAAATCTGACAGAGGTTATTCTCTATCCAGCTATAATGTTCCTGGAACAGGTGCTTCTCATCTTCCAAATCAACCTGGATTTTTTCAGCCATGGGATCAATGTACCTCATCTTGGGGGAAACCAGGCAGCTTTTTTGGCCAAAAGCCCATACCAGTTCAGACAAGTCCATATCCAACTTCTGCTACCTTGAGCAAGAGTCCCCAGTCATCTGCCCAAAGCAATGATTTGTTTGGCAATAATAAGTGGAATCTAAATAGCAGCCCTTCAGCTTTGGGGACTGACACACCTGTGAGAAACGGTTTTTATGAAGGTTCATCATATTCTTATAAAGGCACTGATTATGCAAATGGCAGTTACAGTGAGAAAAAGGTGCCTTGTTCCAGTATCAACTACTTCAAGGCTACAAGTTGCTCCAATATGAATCCTGTAAAAGATATGAACTTGAATGTGGCACTTCCAAATGGTATGTCTGACGATCATTATAGCAGGCAAGGTGTTAGGATCTCAGACAAGGAATACAGATCCGAGGATCCTGTAGCTGTTTTGCCATGGCTCAGAGGAAAGGGCGCTTGCAATAATGAGGCAGAGAATTCAAGGAAAGGTCTTTACTCGCTGGATTCAGCCCTTTCTCGATGGGGTTCAGTCGCTTCAAATTCATGTGAGGGTGATGTTAAAGCCAAGGTTCTTGATAGCAGCAGAAAAATTCTTGGGGTACCCATATTTGAAAACCCTCCAACACCGAAGAAAGAGATTTCCAATCCTTTGCTTAGTCACAAATGTTCAGGAAACAAGGAGAGTGAAAGAAGTGGGAGAAAAGGTGGTTTTGATATGAATTTACCTTGTGACCCCACTGAAGAGGAAGTTGTGATTGTAGAAGAGAATATTCAAACTGAATCTGCTAGTCTCAGACATCATTTTGATCTTAATTCTTGCATATTTGAGGAGGAAATTCCGAGTGAAACCCCTCTTCCAGAAAATAAAACCTCCTTGAGGAATTGCACTGGTATAGATCTGGAAGCTCCCTTCATTCTTGAAGACGAGGAGGTCATTCCTCCGGATGAAGATTCTTTAATAAAAGAGACGGAGAAAGAGCCAGAGTTACCCCAACATAATGCTGGTGACGGAGAAGCCGAACTTGCCAAGTCAGCAGCAGTGGCAATCGTTGCCATTTCATCATTTGTTAACCCAAATCAATCCAAGGAAGCAACTTTCCTACAAGTCGAAACTGACTTGGATGATCCCCTTCAGTGGTTTGTTGATATCGCTTGTTCTAATGGATCTGATCTTGAAAATGTGGATGGGGTACCCGAAGATTTGGATGATTTTGAATTGATGACTTTGAGACAGAAGGAGTGCACTGCAGAAGAGTCCTTCCCGAAACCAAGCTTTCCTGAAGTCCCTAACATTGAAGAAAAAGGGGCGTGTGTCTTAACTACAACTAGAGCACGAAAAGGACATGGTCGTAGAGGAAGACAAAGAAGAGACTTTCAAAGAGACATTCTTCCTGGCCTAACATCACTTGCAAGGCACGAAGTAACCGAAGACCTCCAAATGTTTGGTGGTCTAATGAGAGCTACAGGTCATCCTTGGCAATCTGGGCTAAATAGGCGGAATGCTACTAGATCCGGAGGTGCAAGAGGCAGGCGACGGTCTGTCGCAGCAGCACCAACACCAACACCAACACCTGCAGCTGCAACAGCAAATGCAGTCTGTGCCCTTCCATTGAAGCAGCAGCAGCAGCAACATTTACAGAATAGTAATACAGAAGTGGTTTTGGAAGATAGAAGCCTGACGGGATGGGGAAAAACAACTAGACGTCCCAGAAGACAAAGGTGCCCTGCAGGTAATCCTGCATCCGCCCCTCCTCCCGTTCCTTTGACCTAATTTATTGAATCGAGGCTCTGATATCATGAATCGGAAAAAAACCTATAGAGCGAAACAAAACAAAAAAAAATACTCGAGTAGAGTTGTTCGTTGAAGACCTTCGGAACTGAGCTTTTCCTTTCTCCTCCTTTCTTTTTTTTTTTTCTTAGTCACAAAAGGGGATTGTCTTTGTACATGTTCCTTAGCCCAAAATTTGGGTCCCCTTTTTAATTATCTGTCTTTTGCAACCAACTTTGTATTGTTTCATGAATAATGTTGCATGGGGTTTCTTGTCCTTAGCTTATGCTTTTGTGCATGAGCTAATTTGAACTATAGTAGATCATGCACCTGTATTGTGTGCTTGTCTTCTTCATATCTTTCTGATGATTATTAACAAAGCCTTTTTCTGCTCAAATCTAGGACATATATTTTATATAATCATTTTTGAGTTTCATATACTTTTAAGATATTGTCACAGATTTTCATAAATGTTATAGTCCCTTTTGTTCCTAAATTAAGTTATATAAAAATGTTCATAAATGTCCTATGACTCAGTCTAAAAGTATGATCTTGAATGTGGCCATGTGCTAGCGCATTTGTTGCGGGATTTCATCCTTTTATTTGGACCCTACTCAGGCTCACTCGGTTGGGATTTTGCTGTCTATTTAATGTAACAGCAGTGTTGATTTTGCCTGATATAGGTGTTTAATTAGAATGAACAAACTTGTATTTCAACTAAATCTAATTGGCACTAAAGTCTTTGAGTTGTTGAATAGTACTTAATTTGGAATAAACCTCTATACATATAGAATCGTGATCGTGTGTCCTAAGATTGTTGACTTGGGTTTAAGGAACGCTGTTTTATTGGTGATTCTATAAATGCATTGAAATGAATACAGAATTTAATATGGTTAGATATAGAATGGGAATGGGAGTGCGGTGATATAAAAATTGAAGATTTTTTATATATACGCAAAATGTGTACATAATATTTACCGAAAAACACTCTTGTTGAACATTTTTGACAAAAAATCTACTACTTCCAAGGTGAATTATTGGTGGGTTTTTATCTTTTTACTTTTATTTGTAAAGAATTATTTATCACAAGTATATAGGAAAATAATAAAGGAAAAATTATGGATGGATAATTTTACAAAAGAACAAGCACCAAGTTTTGAGGCATCTCCAGACTTAAAGTGTAAGGACCACAAAGAGAATCACAATTCATAATTAAATTTAATAAATGAATTTTATTTAATCAATCAATGAAAAAAAAGTTTGAGTCATTATATGTCACGACTCACGAACCATCAACCTCACATAATAAATAATGCGAGTAATACCAAATCAAATATACTTCTATCAGATTCAATTTCTATACCATGCATCCGTGTAGAAATAGTTGCACCAATTTAATTTTTGCACTATGAATTCACTAAATTTAACCCTTCTTTTAAGTAAAAATAATTTTAACATAGATAATAAATTTAGCTGGATATATCTCAATGTCTAATTTAAGATTTAAGAATATCAACTTTTAGAAAAATTTACAACATACTCCCACTGTTTTATGTTGGTTGTCTCATTTGTGATATTGAGAGATTCCAATGGAAATAAAATCTAGTACTTTAAAGATTTTTCTATATACTTTAAAAAATAGTAATGTGGAATCTTGTAAGATTTGTTTTAATTTTTATTTTTCAAGTATGCAATTTTTAATCTTACAATTTTTTTTTTCTTTTTTTTTTTTGGTAATTTGTAATTTTTACCAATTGGATTACAATTGTGCAAAAAGAAAATGAGAAAAAAAAAGAATAAACAATAAGGAAGTAATAAGTCAAAATTGTGCATTCCTAACATGAAAGTCAGGAGGCATATTCGGCAAAATATAGTTATGAAGGTAACTGTTAGCTGTGGAGGTAGCTGTACGCTGTGTAGATAGCGGTTGACTAGCTATTACATATAAAAATTAATATTTTATTTTTAAAACTATAGATTAAATTTTCAATCGGTACCTCAAAAGTTTCAAAAGCTAATATTATAACTTTTCATGAAAACTAACTCCACCACTAAAATTTACCATAACCACTACTTTGCCAAACACTCACATTTTTTTGTTAAATGCTACCTAAAAGCTACTCGAACGCTAATGCCGAACACGCCATATAAGAAGAAAGTTTTAATGGATAAAGTAATTTATTTAATGCTTTCATCCCATTTACTAGGTCCATTTTCCTTTTTGGATTGTCATAATTTACTTTTGCAAGTTAAATTTTAGAGAAAAAAAAAAAAATCTTTCTTCTTTTTCTTGAGTTGTGTCTTGCATTCATCCACAGACGGAGGGAGTGAAAATAAAAGGCGGAGTAAATTTCAGTTTAGTGAAAATTAGATGAAAAAAAAAGCTCAAGAAAGAATTGGTATTTACGGTCTAATTAAAGTAAGAATGGGAAGAGAGTTTTCAATATGATGAGTACAATGGTCACTAATTTTTACTTCCTCTCTCATTCTAGTAATTCAGTGGTCTGGATACTGCACAGAAACCTCACTCCACTAGCTAAAATTGCAATTCTCTTATATGATGAACTAGCTACTAGATGATCAAGTATAATAAGCGTTGGGCAAACCCCATTTGCATATAACACATTTACATAATTACAATGTGGAGGAACTCTATATATTTCATGTCAGATACAGTATTTCGTAAACATCTGCAGGTAGAACAAAATTAGCTGTATTACAGTCAGTATTCACCAGCTCAATACCCCCAAAAATTCGCTCTTTCACAGAGATCAGCTTATAAAACCACTATCATCTTTGAAGAGAGAACATTTTGTTTCCAGCTGACAAATTTGTGCATCATAGCCACCAAGCCATCTCAGTCATTCTTGAAAGTTGTCTTTTTAGATGGCTTTGCCACAGCCCACAGGTCCAGAATGCAAAACCATTTTTTCTACACTCTTACTCCATGCAGCTGCATCGCATACACAACACTACAACATGGATTTCGTTGATAATTATAGGCAAGGAAGCTCCAGAGATAAGCACCACAGATTTTTTTTTTGATCTTTTACTCAGTCAGTGACACGGAAGATATTACTATCTTCTGTCTTGAGCGATTACCTAGTAGAAGATAATTGCAAGGAAGGAAGCTGGTTAAAACTTTCCATCTCTGAGGAGCTCCAACCAGGTGACTTGCTCAACCCTCTTTCCTTCATTAAATCTCTGATCTCATCTGCCTTGTCCCATCTTCCATCTGAAGCATACAACTTATACAAAAGCACATGGTAACAAGCTTCGTTAGGATGCATGTCTAACATTCTTCGTGCTGCAATCTCTCCCAGTTCAAACTGGGAATGAAGGCTGCATCCATGAACAAATGCTCCTAGGACAGTGATATCTGGACGAATAGGCATATTCTCCATGATGTCTGCAGCTTCCTCTAATTTTCCTGCACGAGCTAATATGTCTACCATACATGCATAATGTTTCATGGAGGGCACAAAGTTATGCTCCCTACAGATAGAAGTGAAATATTTCCATCCTTCACCGACATTTCCTGAGTGACTACATGCTGATAAAAGAACAGTAACATGGACATCATTAAGTTCCACATCTTCCTTTAACATATTGTTGAACAGTGTAACAGACTCCTCGCCATCACCATGCATCCCATAACCCCTAATCATAGAACTCCAAGTTACTTCATTCTTTACTCCCATCTCATCAAAAACCTTCCGTGCACATATCACATCACCACACTTGGCATAAAAATTTAGAAGTGCCGTGCCAACATAGGTGTTAACAGATGACAAACCTTCCCTGATTAATAAAGCATGTAAAGAAGAACCAACTTTAACAGCATTTATAGAAGCACAAGCAGAGATTACGCTGACCAAAGTCACTGTATCTGGAGACATAGATTCTAAAGTCATTTGATGAAAGAGTTTAAGGGCTTCAAGAGCATACCCATTTTGGGCGTAACCTGAAATCATTGAATTCCAAGCAATCACACTCTTGTTGTGTATTGAATCAAAGATATACCGAGAATCTCTCATCAGGTTGCATTTTGCATACATGTCAATGAGGGCATGTTTGACATCAACATCTTCTAAACCTTGCAAAGTTGCAAGGCAGTGAACCGACCTGCCCATACTCAGATCTCCGAGTTGAGAACAAGCTGAAAGTACACTAGCTATGGTCATGGAATTAGGAAAAATTCTAGCTCGCCTCTTGTCTGCAAATAACTTCAGGGCCTCATTAGGCTGGCCGCATTGAGTGTGCCCAACTATCATAGCGGTCCAAGAGATTAGATCATCGGTAGAACAGAACTCGTCAAATACAGAACGAGCATCTTTAATGCTCCCACTTTTGACATACATGTCTAGAAGCGCGGTAGCCAGAAAGGAATTCAGATTGATCCCAGCTTTGAGCAAATACCCATGAAGCCACTTCCCTTGATGCAAAGCTCCCAACTTCCCACAACCTGTCAGTAAGCTCCCCAATGTAAACTGATTTGCATCAACAAGGCTTTCCCTCATCCTATTAAACAAAATCAAACCCTCTTCAGAACAATCATTCTGCACATACCCCGTGATTAACGAAGTCCACGAAACGACATTTCTATCCTCTATCTCTTCGAAAACTCCCCGAGCAGAATCAATCTCCCCACATTTAGCATACACATCCACCAAACTAGTAAGCACAAAACTATCAGGACTCCCTGCCTTGACAATATGGCAATGCACCTTCCTCCCCTCATTGACATCCCTCAGCTCACAACAAGCCTTCAACACAATAGAGAAAACAATATCATCGGTCTCTCTGAGGCATTTCCTCAAACCCCTGTAGCACACAATTGTTTCAAGATGCAATTCATTCAAAAAATACCATCTAATCATTACTTTGAAAGAATAAAGGTCTGGGTTAGGAATTTTATCAAACACCTTACGGGCAATCCTCAAATACCCAAATGAACCATACAAACTCACCAATTTAGTGAGGCAAAGAAGATTATCAACTACACCATGAACAATGAGTAAAGCATGAACTTTTTGGAGAGAAGAATGATTTTTGCAGGTACCCAGAAGAAGGTAAGCTGGGTTTGAAGAAATGGAGAGCAACGAAGCTTTAGATTGCTGGGAAGTGTGGTACTCCTTGGGAGGAGGATTGAGAAATGGGAAGGAAGAGAGAGAAATTGCCCGCCATTGATGAGGGTATTTGGTGATGAAAGCAGGAATTTGCTTCAGAAAATGGGAAAATAATTGATTCATGATGATTTGAAGAAGATGATTCTAATTTGGGGGAAGAAATTGGTGCCGCCATTTTCTAATTGGGACTTTTTAAGGTTTTGGTTGTTGGCATTGGCGGCAAATCGATTGTTGCCTGTTGGTTTGAAGGCAACTAATACGAGTACGTCCATATAACTAAAGATGGTGCCGGGCCGTGCCTCATGCCGGGTTTTGGGGCTAGCTAGGCTTAGTCCACAGCTCAGCTCACAAATTACGTGCTGTGTCGTGTCGTCAAAATTATAAATTGTAGTCAAAGTCGTGCTTAAGCTAAACTTTTTAAATTGTAAAAAATAGTAAGTATGGATTATTTGGAGCACATTGTTGGTGCTTCAAGGACCATAACCATACAATAATTAGGCTTTTTCATTGTGTCATACTCTTCTTTTTTTTTTTCTTTAGATGGTAATCAAAGCAATCAGATAAACATGCTAGGTCGCTTATTATGTGTAATCAGTTAGCAGTTTTTTCAAAGGTATACTTCAAAAAGTGTCTTCTCCATGATCAACCCTTTCTACTCAAGTCTTTATCTTAATCACTTTTCCCATCAGAAGTTTACCTAATTTGAAATTCTTTATTCTACTCAAGCCTCACAAATTTACAATTTACTTTAGTCAAGTCCTTTTATATTTCCCTGCAAAATCTTAATAAATGTGAAAAACATTCAGTACTGTTGAAATTCTCACCAACTAAAAAACATTCAGTTAAGATTTCATTGATCTCCCACCAGTCAATCTATACTTTTTTTTTTTACTAATTTAAAATTGTGGGTAAATATGGTTGAAGTTGTGGCTTTAACTATGACATTCCAATATAAAAGGAAATAAATGTAAGCAGATAGGATGAGAAAACGCCAACAACAAAAGCCTTAGTCCCAAAATGATTTGGGATCGGCGAACATGAATCGTCATAAGAAATTGTACGATAGAATGAGACGACGCCCATTAGTGTAGTTAAAAACCTTTCTATGTTACAAATTTACAATTAAGACCAAAATATACACTGAATAAAATGAAAAATTTATTCTTATAATCTTATTACATCAAGATATATCTTGGATAGCTATACTAAACATAGAACAGAAAAAATCAAGCAGAGAAAAAACTAAAGAGAAAGATGTGGATCTAGTATACAAGATTGATGATAAATTCTATCTCAAAGAAAGAAAAAAAAAAATATGATGTAGTGAAAATTCAAACAAATTATGGTCCAGAGAAAAGAAAATAAAGAATACAGTCCCTAACTGCACAGACCGTCAATCTCTAGCTTAAGGTCGTTGATACACATACTTCGTTCTGGGATCTACAATAAGACCTTTTCCTCCGTTCACTTCCAGATCATGCCTGCTTAACCCATCATCATTAATATATAAACATATACGTAATTTATATAAAGAAAATACATAATCATGGGTCATCTAGTTAAATTTGTTTTAATGTGGATTTTCATAAAATGAAACTAATGATAATTATGATCAAAGTGCAAATTGGAGACTGCAAAATACAGATGAGTGTATGTTCAAAGAACAGAGGGGGTGAAAGTGTATACTCAACTGGAAAACAAAATCAGGAATGGTTAGCTGCTCACGAGGGACGTATCTGAACAGCTGCAGTAGTCGATCAACATATACAACTTTCTTCCAGACCTAGCCAATCACGTTAATGCATTATAAAGAATGAAGAATTTGGTGGCTGGGAAGTGAGAAAAAAACAACCCATTAAACAATGATAAAATATGATGGATGCATACCATATTATCCACGAACATTTGTAAGGCAAATATGGCTGCTTTCAATCCAAATGTTGGATGTAGTACATATATCGCCTATATCAATCAAATCAAACAAAACCATAAGTTATTTTGATCTCTTTTTTTAGTAACAAATATCAGGTAAGGCAATAGATTATCTTGTAAGATTGAAGTCATCCAGTAGCATACATGCAGATTTCGCTGGTGTTTGCGGCCAAGAATTTGCTGTAATCTTCTCATCCACCCTAAATCTGGTTGACTGTACACCCAGAAGAACAGATAATAACAGTTAGACATAAATCGACTTGTTATACATGAGAAATACATAATATACACAAGCTTAGAAATGTTAAATTTCAGGCACATGAACACAGGACATCAATGACACTCATTAAAAGTAAACAGCATCTCATACAAACTTTTAAAGAGACATAATCCTTACGGCTGTAAAGAGGCAGCAGAGTGGAAGTAGACAATAGAATACGGCTTCTGACCTATTGGCTCGAACTCCTAAAAAACAATCATGAGCGTATGTTATTATACGAAACCACATACTCAGCACGTCCATATCATGAAGAAATATCATCAAAGAAAAAAGTACTATACCTTCACTACATACATGATAAAACGCTCAAGATCAAGGCACCGCAACAAGAAATGAGCTCCAACTACTACCATAACTGGACGTCCTTCACTATCAACCCCACCACGATATCTGAAGAAAACCAGTAGCATAACTTAAATTAAGTGGATCCCCAATCTACCAAGGTCAAGACTGAAGCTGAAAATTTTCTCTAATACTGTATTTTTTTTCCCCTAGAAAGGCTGAGTAAATAGCAGCATTTAATAGCAGAATTTTCTCTTACACAATTTTCATTTCTGCAATCTCAGAAAGGTTTGTAGAATTAGCTTTAGCAAGGTATCTTGAATGGAGAGAATATTCTTCAGCAGCAGATAGTGGAGGGCCACCAAGGTTTCCATATCCAAGCATTTTCGCACAATTCCATCCACTTTGAGCTTGAGCAGCCTTTTCCCACTGCTCCTTTCGTCTTTGATCTGGATCCTTAATTAGTGACATAAAAGCAGGATCCAAGTAAGTATCCAAATAGGAGGGATTCCTGTCAGGTTGTGTAAAAAAACTTAATTAGGCCCAATATATTGATTCATACAACATAAAATTAAGTCCTTTGAAATTTAAAGGGCAAGTCATGAAATTGTCTAAAGTTTGACAGCTATAGTCAATTCTATTATATTATATAATAGATGAAAGGCGAACAGAGGTTACCCAAGTCACAAAGTGTGAAGGAGGAAAAGATGTCCTCAGACATCAGAAAATTTACTACAGATTAACCCAGTTCCTTTTACTTTCCCGCCTTCCCCAACAAAATACTGTCAAAAGCTCAAAACTTAAAAGCCCCAGCCACCTTGGCCCACAAAGATGCCCAGTAAGCACCACAGAATTGCCATAAACAATTCCGGCATAACACCTTCTCCTTCACCTTTCCAAAACCCACAGAATGAATCTGCAGCAACTCCAAATAGTATAAACTATAAAGGAAAACCCAGGACTTCCCACACTCACCTAAAGCCTCCTCAGAGTTAGGGGTGTAAATGAACCAAGCCGATCAATAAACTACTCGTGTTCGGGCTTGGTTGAAGCTCGTTCAGTACGTTTATTTAATAAATGAACCGAGCTTGAACAAACTTTGAAGCTCGTTTAATAAATGAGCTTGAACACGAACATAGATATGCTCGTTCAAATAAGTTCATGAACAACTCGTTTTTTATGTTTATGATTTACTCGTTTATCTATGTTCATGAATCATTGGTTTATTGGCAATTGTTAATTTAGTTATTAAATTTAATTAAGATTCAATTATTATGCTAATTTTGAAATTTTCAAATATCAAAAGTACAAAGCTCATTTATTGGAGAAACTCGATTATTATTAAGTTCGTTCATGAAAGACTCGTTAAATAAACGAGTTGTTCACGAACCGTTCGTGAACATATAGTGTACAATGTACTAAATGAGCCGAGCTTGAACAGAAATTTGAGCTCGTTCAAAAGCTCGGGATCGTGCTTGAACTCGCCTAAGTTAAATGAACTTGAACATGAACAAGGTAATACTCGGCTCGGCTCATTTACTCCCCTACTTAGAGTATTAAATGCCATCTCATAATAAAGACATTGATGCAAAACCTGCTATAGGTATGACATATCATGACATACACAGTAAATAGCCATCCTTGGTCTATCCTTCGGATAACATCATTGAAATTAACTCCACTCAATGCCCAAGTCCACACAAAAGGCTCTCACCTTAAAGGAACCCTGGCCTTCCAAAAATAAGAACTGGTGTTTCACATTGTTTTATATACGCACTGTAGTAAAAATAAAATTTAAAAGGTAAACAAATGTAGGATTATAAAACATAGACTTTAGAGAAACTAACCTTCTAGCCAATCCAACCTCATTTAGAGTAATTTCATTTGAGACTTGAGAAGGTTTGGGCTCTGTCTTCTTAGCATTTGGAAGTGGCTTTATTCTGATTTTACGCTCATCTATAACAGTTTCACCATTCTCGTCCCCAACATCAGCAGGAAGTTTTGATATAGCAACCTCTTCTTCATGTTTATCACGAGGAAAGTAGAGAGGAAGTAGTCTAAACATAAAAAGCACATGGAAACAATTCACATATAAGGACATAAACTACAGAAATCAATTAGAAGCATCCAGTATTTAAGTTTACTTGTATGAACAAAAAAAAAAATAAAGGGTTATAAAAAGAAGTGCTTTACCTTTTATATATCTCCGTGTCAGTTGATGTGGTAGTGCAAAATACAATGGCAGTAATTTTGTCCTTCTGTTTCTCGAGAAATCGTCTTACAGTCCCTATTAAATAAAAGCAGTACTCAGAAAAATGTTTTGACCAGTTTTTTTCACAGAACTGACAATAAGAGAACAATCCACTTAGAATATTTGCATCTATGACACATACCCATGTCAAACTAGGGTATGAATTCAAGTGACACAGCTATATAGTTAATTTTCTGTCCATATTCTTGGTCTGCATCAAGTACCCTTACCCATGTTAGAGTGTCCAGAATATGACAAGGGTACTAGAAGTGAAATGAAGAGTCCAAGTGCCAATGTGTCATTGAACCCATAGGAGGTTGGAAGTTCACGAGCTAATCAGCTTGACATATAACAAGTTTTAGAGCACCAAACCCATAGAAGTGAGCAACAGTAAGGCACTTTGGTGAAATTATTTGCCTCTTTGTGTGAAGGCCTTACATAGTTCCATATATTAGTAATTATATTTTCTAAGGTAGGCTAGGTAGCCATTATAACAAAGGAACAAGAGGTGAAATGATGAGTCAATATGACATTAAATGCTATAAGGAGGTTGGAAGATCAAGTGCTACTCATCTTCACATATAACAAGAATGTTAGACCACCAATCCCAAAATATTGAACAATGGTAAGGCAAATTGGCAAAAACATTGTTTGCCACTTTGTCTGAAAGCCTTATATAGTTCTATTATTTTAGCAGTATTACATTTTCATAGGAGCTCATCAAGGAAGTCACTTTTTCTAAAAGGCAAGAAAAGAAAATTTGAAACATCTTACTGATGGCCACATGTGCTGCAGGTTCACGAGGATAGTTTTTTGACTCTGTATAAATGCAACCCATTGCTATGCTGCACAAGCAAAAATATACAAATTTATACGACAGCGAAAAAAAAATAAC